TTAGTCAATTTGGTGCACCAACTGATAACCGATCATATCAACTTCACAATCTCTTCTATCGATATACTGTTCTAATTTCTACATAAGTGTTGAACCGAACCGAGATGGGTGGTTCGCGATTCAAATCCATGAAACATTAAGTATAGAATGTATATGGTACAATCCCAAGTCTCTCCATAACTAACTATTGAAAGAACTAGTGGCACTCTCGACTTCATCACTCTAGTCATAAAATTTGCACCCCAACAAGCGACAAGGAACATCCGAAAATGATATTTTTCCATGCAACGAAGGTGAATACTGAATATGTTAGAAATTGGCAAATGCAGTATTGGATTCCTATCAAACCCGTCCATATCTGCAAAAACACTAATTTCACTTTTACACCTCTCTTTACATGGAGATCAATGACCTCTACCAGCCTCTATACACTCTCAAAGTTGCACTCCATCATCACTCACTTGCTATTCCATGAGCAATAATCCACACTCAAGGAAAGAGCAAGGTTGCTCTGATATTATTGTAACACTAGGGTTTAGCAAGAAGTTCACTCGAAGATGGAAACATAAATTCTGAAGATGAGAGATACCAATAATGATTCCTCTCTCCCTTATATAGCTTTCACCAACAAGTACAAGGAGATAAGATCTTATTCTCATCATCCATCTCACTCATACTGGATGAATGACATGAAAAATAATCCTAACAAACACACTGATTGTTGACATAATGCTTCCAACTAACACACTAAATCCTAACCTAACAAGCACACGGATCTCTGACGTGACACTGTCAACTAACACACATACTCTCTATCTACCATGCGTGCAGAGTGTTGACGTGGCAGCTATGACTGGTACACGCTAAAGTATCTACATCAACATTTAGATTAACCTCTACTTTAGTTTTAACTTACTAAAGATGGTTACATGAACAAGCCGTAGGCAGCTTTATGTATTTGATGGTGTGCACTATGCTGGATATTGCCTTAGTGATAGGCAAGTGAGCAGCTACATGTCGAATCCAAGGAAAGTTCACTGGGAAGAAGTGAAATGGATCATGAGATATTTGAAAAGTAATATAGATTATGGCTTATTTTTTGATGGTTTATTAGTCAATGCCAAATCATTGTTTGATTATGTTGTTACTGACTAGGGACAGTTTTCAGATAAAAAGAGATTTATAACTAGGTATGTGTTTACACTTGGCGGTGGAAGCATTAGTTGGAGGTCTACCTTGTAGAAATACGTAGCTCAGTCAACAACGGAAGTTGAGTATATGGTGGCAGCAGAGGCAGCAAAGAAAACTATTTGTTGGTATAGACTTATCATGGAAATGAGATTGAAGCAAGGCTTGGTTAATTTTCATTGTGATAGCTATAGTGCTTTATATTTGGCTTAAATAAAAGATAAAAGATCTTACAAATTATCTTTGATATCTATATAAGAAATGTGATTAGACTTTACGCTCTATATATATTATAATTAATTGTTAGAAGTCAAAACCAAAAAATTAGCCTAGTCTTGAAGAAGAAGAATTAATGTGGATACTAAAAAATATTCTTTATTTATTTTAAAAATATGATTATTGTATTATAAGTATTTAAACATGGATTGTTTTCAAATGTTGTCATGAAGAAAGTTGATACTCATTCAGTCACTCATTCAATACAAAAACTCACAAAAAAAAGTAGACACTAGACATACATGATTCATTATTACAAATTATATTCACAAAAGATTTAAAAAATTATCAAATATATTCTTGAAACTTTCAACAAGAACTTTCGTGACATCTCTTACATGATGATAATTTACCCAATGTTACTAAATAGTAAAAATTTAGATAGAGGATAGTTATTACTCAGTTTAGGCTAATTACCCTCATCCTACTACACTATGGTGAGGGATAATTAGCCAAGTCACTCAATTGGTCGAACAAGTTTGACCACTTTAGGTCAGACAAGTTCTTGATCGGGCCCTTTCGGTACCGATTCAAGTATGTATGAGACCTACCGGAGTAGAAGAAGAATGTGTTCAAGTAACACGTTCAGATGCGTGTTCATTATGTTTGGAGAGTTCAATCTTGTAATGGAAATCTCGGCAATCTTGATCAACAAAGGCTTGAGTTTCACGTGACATAATGTTGTTAGGATCCAACCATCACACACATCACCATCATGCACAAACATTCAATAAATGCATCCGATTAACTCCTCGAGCAAAATTGAACTGTTTTACAACAACTAAACGATCATAGTTGTAACTGTGAGCTGACTTGTCCATGTAATCAAATCCCCGTCATCTTTGTTGAAGCTTACAATTATCCTCGATGTTTCAACTAGTATAAGTGATGCTGCTCACATATTGGAGAAGAAGCCACAAACATACAGGGAAATAACATAATTAACACAAGGTCCAAACTTGACATACAAAGGTCATACATCAAGCAAAGATGTCTCACTTACTACTCATTACTTGTAGAAGAAAACTTTCAGAAGCTCAATCCGTGAACATGAAAAGAAGTTAATGCAATGTGATGAAGCACGCGATTGCATGATTTTTGGAGAACACTCTAGACTTTGTTAACAATTTCTTCTCAACAATCCCGAGGTGGAGGGAAGAATCTATAGTGTGATTCACGGGCTATCAATGAAAGTTACAAATATGATGTTAAGCTTTGATTCAGACTTGGTGAAGGTTCAAGAAATGCACTCCATCCACATAGAAATCTGCACGGAGTACTCATCAATTTTCACTATAACGTTATATTAGAGAGCCCAAATAGCATGGAGAATGGGCCCAAGTACAGACTTGGGTCGGTCTCGGAAGGTCCGATCAAGAACTTCTCCGATCAATTGGATGACTTGGCTAATGATCACTCACCATAGTATAGTAGGGTGAGGGCTAATTAGCCTAAACTGAGGGATAACTAGCCGCTTCTTAGATTTAACTTGAGTTTATTCTTAACAATATACTCCTAAGGTTTTAGGGTTTATTCTATTCATAGGATTTATAGTAAATTATTTATAGGATTAGTAGCTTCCATATTTAAATAATTATTTTGCGTAAAGTTCTAGATAGAAATTTAACATATGTATAATTTTAAACTTGACATAACTAAACTAAAACTCCACTACTAAACTAAACTAACTAAAATTGAATAAAGTAAAGAAATATATAAAGTTGACAAAATTGTTAGTAAATTGTATTGGTGCTACTATTGAAAAATTTTTATGAGTTGGATTGAATTTAGCGTCCAGTTCCATTAGTTCAATCTTTTTTATCATATTTTGCAATTCTAATAAAATGATGTATTTAACTCTACTATTCATTATGTAATTTCTAACAAGATGTAACCCACTTTGATATCATAATAAAATTGACAACTCAATAATACAAATATCAATCAAATAGTTACGTTACATATTAACTTTCATGGTAAACATAACTCTATCTTGACATAACATACATTTCACCTTAAAGAGAACAAGTCATGAATGAATGCTACCGTTATTTACAACTGATTATATCCACACGACCGGGGTAAACAGTAAATGAAAAGATGAATGCAAATCATCATTGTGTTGTACGATGTGATGTATGTCACAAACATCTACAAAATTGTATAGTTTTGTGTGTGAAGCATTGCTTATGAGAATGTGGTTGTGGATCCAAGCACATGATATAGATCACACTCGCAAGAAAGTGGCATGATACACACACTCACAAGAAAGCAAAGAAATCTTTCAAGTGTGCTCATCCATTACTTTGCATAAGCAATCAAGTTATACACTTAAGTACGCAACTTGATACTCAAAGTATTGTGCGTGCTTATCAATGAGGTGCGGATTTCCGGCGAATCAGAATCCTAAACTCAATTAAAATTCATTACAGGTATAATTTTGGTGAGCAAATAGTCATCTAGGTTCTAATTTCTTCAAACGAGCCATAGGATAAACTTATTAACAATAATGAGCAAACTTATGAAAGATTAAAATAAAATTTTTATATTTTTTTCTCAGTTTAAATTTATAACAACAATTGTAACAGGATTTACCTAGGGAGATCTTCAGATTTATTATGACGATTGTTAATTCCACTAATCAATTGTAAAGAAAACAAAACAAAATTATCAAATGAATTTTAGATGTGATATAAATTGAATAACACCCATGCTTTCAGTAAAAGTACTTAAATTTGCATGTACAAAGTTAATGAAGCAGTTGAAAAAAATATGTGAGACAACGGTTGCAAATACTAAAAATATATGACTAAATATCTGAACCTAACCAGAATATCTTTCAATCTGGTTGGTTGTTGAATTAAGTTTGAAGAAATGCTTTGACATGTTAAGGGTCAATTTACCTATTCCTCAATTGTCAAAGCAAAAACTATTGCATTAAATGTATCAATCTTGGCTAAACCAATCACACAACGATGAGGGTTGCAAAAGGTGCTGCATATCAAAGAGTGATCTGAATTCATCAGATCCTATCATGTATAACTGAAAGCTTTAGACTAACTCTAATTGTTTATTGTCCAATATTATCTAAAACAGATACAAAATGATTCATATTGGTTTGTCGCATGATTAAACATCAACCAAAAGTTGGTTTCCAAACACAAGAATCTTCCAAACTTGCATATTGAACTAAATAGATTTTGATCACCATTTTTTGAGTAATATTTCAGGGGTGCTTATTTAACTGGGAGATTAGTGTGATACTCTTGAGAGAGATTCTATACTTTGAACCCAATGAGGAAATTATCTTACTAATGAGAAAGGGTCTAAAGAAATGTACAGAGCGTGCTTGAAACTGATGCACAGAAAAAGTTCTTGCTTCTGAGTCCCGGACCTTCTGGAAAACAGCAAAGTCATTTCTTGTTGATCTAAGAGCCAAGTCTGCTTAATACCGATTCTTAATTTGTTCTTATGCAGAATACCCACGAATTCTTGCTTCGCTGTCCAGTTTTGATGACCCGTGAGTAGCTCATGCATTAGCTAGTGGCCGGACTGCCAGATTCATAATAAGCTTTTACGGTATAGAGGGTCTGAAGGAATGTCAAGACGAGTAGGGCGAATGCAGCAACCACCGAAGCAGCAATCCACGGCCGACCAAAATAAATTTGTACGAACTCTACCCACAACTGCCTCTTGTCATTGTTGTAAAAGTTATGAATGTCCTTCCGTAGTGTGGCCCATTGTTTGGAAATGGGCACAATGTAGGAGGGATACCGCAGTGAGTTGAAGATGTTGGCCACGTCGATGTCCATGCTGAGGTGAGATACTTCGATGACCGACAGTTTTCTCTCTTTCAGGAGGAGAACGTCCTCCCCCGTGTCAATTAGTTCATCCATGAAGGACAGGTAGCACATCAGGTCTCCTTTATTCAGCACTCTGCTCTCGAATTCAAGCAGATTCCTCAAAATCATCTCCGTCCAGGGCATGATGCGCAGCTGTGGAACGATGAGAGTCGCTGTGAAAATCCCTCTCCGAAATCTTACGTCGTTTATGCTTCCAGAGCCTCTGACAATACTGATGCCGGCCTTCTGGAGCTGCGTGGCTGTGGCTATGGGATGCCTGACATCTTTCTCATTAGGCCACTCCCATGTGTTATGCCGCAGAGCTCCCCAGTACACGCATTCGAGAAGATGGCTGTAATCTTCAGCTTTTAGCGTTGAGATGCGCTCGAGAAGTTTGGATGGCCCGGGCAGAGTGTATTGCATCACATCACACACCACTTCGGCTATGTCTCTGAGCACCATAACCGCCGTTGAGCGTTCACTCTCCACCGAGTTCAAAGGCAATTCCTCGATCTCTAGAGTTACGCCGTCGGGATCAGCTGGGAAATATAGCGAAGATGAATTCTGGGCCTGCTTACTTCTTTTCATGGGACGACTCTGATACATAATCTCCAGTACCCTCGTGATGAGCTGGAGCGGAATCTGATTCTGGAAGATGACTAGGATATCGAATAGGTCTCCGAACCTTAATGTACTCAAGCCACGATCTTGCACCACCTCTGCTATTTCCGCAAAGCGAGGCTGCACCGAGTCATCTGATTTATGGAGGCCCGAGAGAGTGTGCAACATGCAGGTCACGAAGACTGCGTCGAGGGTGAGGATATTTCGGACTGCCTGTGGATCGTCTATTGGGCAATCATGGTACATGTTCTTCATGTCTTCAGGGCTCTCGACCACCAGTTGACAGATTTCTGTCCAGCTCTTTTTTACAGTTCCTTTGAAGACCACCGCCATCTCCAGCTTCAATTCGACTTTGTACCTGTCGATAGTAGTCGACTCCTTCACCTGAATGTCCTTGTTGTACAGACCCAGAGAGATGTACCCTGGCGATAACTGCTCTGATTGAGTCGCGCGAGTCGAGGGGTGGAAGATTTTCGGATTCGCTGTACTCCGAGCTTTTTTCATATCAGCCATCAATTCATCCATCAAATCTATGCGCTCCAAATGCAGAATGTGTTCCATCTTCTGCTTCCCGCTAGCCATCATGGACCTACTAGTACTTTCGCCCTGAAAAATCAGACTGATGTATCGACCACGCACAAATCTTCATCGGCACATCCACTCTCTGTTTCCAAACTGAACATAATTAGTTGCCCTCGATCTCCAAACAATTGTGTTCCTCACCGTTCGTTCGTTTGTTGCTCTTCGGGTTTGGGATCACCAGCAAACTCCTGCCATCCTAGCTGACCAATTTTCTGAAAGCTTCTTAATATGCCCTCGGACTGGTCAGCTGTGAAGTGTAAGCCTCACAGTGTATGCTGGATCACGCTGTGATCACGCATACATAGAGATCGTGAAAACGACAGTTCTCTACAAACAATGCTCAGTAGTCAACACGGCCTCTGAAGTCTATGAACTGTTCGTACGCGTCAGGGATCTAGGATTGGGCCAGCTCGATGTGGAGAAAGGAGTCAACGTCTGCAACATGTGCACGAGAAATTATTAAGTACTTCAGGAATTACCACGTCACATCCCTGGCTCAGGATTCGAATCATTTCAGCTTCCCTTTAGAAGGCCCCCTGAACTCTTACTCTAGTCAGAGCTTGTCATTGAAAAGGCCCCTAATCTCGCATTTGATCTTTCTAGTTTCAATATGGAGACTTGTAAAGCCAAACCTAGATCTTGTTAGGACGGGTTATTCAAGGATTAGTGTATGGTAGACTTGTAGGGCCCTACATTTGTGGAAGTTTTGATTCGTTTCTATCCGTTATTTATAAATGTTGGTGATCATGCTCTATATGATAACCTTGCATATGACTTTTTGCTAATAAATCGGGAGAAGGGTAAGCCTTAGTCATTAATACAAATTAAAGTAAGTTGGGCATCAGGTCTGGGAAACTTTGGCCAGAAACAATTGAAGATATTTCACTCAGATCCATGGAGCTAGAGATGGTCAAATGTTTTTACTAATGTGCAATACATTTTACTAACTGACCGAATCTCCTCATTGTCCGCAGGCATGTGCCGGAGGATACCGAGGTACCGGACGCGCATCCATCAGGTTAGAACCGTGCCGACGGGAACCGCCAGCCCTTCCAGGCGGTGAGGGGACGTGCAACGAACGCATCTAAGGTTCTCAACGGGTTGCGGGGCGGTACTTCTCAAAATTTTCGGTATCGCCTGACAGGGACAGCGGAGCCCAAACCCACCTATGCCCATGAGTGTGGAGGATATTACTTTCATATCGGTGGGCTCAAGTACAGTAGTCTCCCATTTAAAGACCCACTTTATGATAAGATTTTCAAGAACCAACATTTCCATTGTAAATTTTAAGGATTTCAACATTTCTGAAGATTTCCTGTAAATTTTGAAGTCGAGACTAGTCTACTGCCCTCGACAAGGGATGGCAAGCGAGAGAAATCTAACCATCAATGGCCATCGGAAAAGGCCGAGATGCAAGTATCTCTTTCCAATAATTTAGTCTTTTGCTTCTTCGTATCAATACACATCTAGCGCAAAAATATCATCCCACAATCATCGGAAAAAATTGGGAGTATCATATGGTGTATGATATATATATTATTAAATGGGGGTGGGAGGAGTAAAGGAAGCTCTTGAAAAGAGGCAAAAACCACCAAAAATATGGGGCTGGAAGGTGTTGAGAAAATTGTCCACTATTCGCTAAATGCATCATTAATTTCATACTCACGTACTAAAGCGAGTTTGCTTGGAAGATTTTACCTTCTCTGTTGAGAAAATTGTCCACTATTTTTTAGATGCATCATTAATTTCATACTCACGCTCTAAAGATAGTTTGCTTGGAGTATTCTTTCTCAATTTTGAAATGATCTCAACGATCTCAGTGCCTGAACAAGTCCCAACGTTTAGTCACTTGATATTCAATTTCTTGGACATTAGAGCTCTACGCAAATGATCTGAAAATGTGAAGTATGCATCCCCCGGTTAAGTACGCCCAAAAGTTTAGGTTTCAAGGTGCGTACTTAAGTGGGAGATTATTGTAACGCTAAGGGTAGTGTTTGTCAAGATACACACAAGAATTGGTGTAATTTGAATAGCATGGCTCAGGTTAGGTCGTTGTTGAATGTTATAGTCTAGGTGCAGATTTGAAGTAAAACGTTGAACTCTGAGGGACAGTAGAGCACACTGACACTTTGAAGGGAAGTCATTATGTTGCATACATCATAGGCCTCCACACCTACTGCAACTGGTCTGTAAGACCAAAAATTGTATGTGTGAAACAAAACTAGAAGTAGCCAAGGAGTTAATTATGGTTAGGATAGTTATAGTTAAGTCTAGCTAGTTATGACTAAACTAGTTAGTTATAACTAAGTTTATCTAGTCATTACTAAGTTTAGGTATAAAATCAATAGTTGGCAGAATAATTACCGGAGTTGTAAAAAATTAGAGTGAGCACTCTATTTTGTCTTTTACAAAGGTCTAGATTCCAAGTAATTAGACTTTTGACTATAAGCTTGGATATGATTGGTTTGACTAAATGTATGAAAGATGATTGGCTATACTAAATCGAATGTTGACTTGGTGTCTAAGAAGCTTCTAGAAGTTTTAAAACTTCCAATGGTATGTTGTCACCTCAACTTGGAATTCCGGAAACTTCTAAAAGGTTTAGGTAGGCTAATGACATGTCGCCACGTATAGTGGATTAGTCTAACTTACCTAGGAAAAAATAAGTTAGGAGAAATTGCCACATGTTACTATGGTAATTTCTCAAGTAATATATAGAGAGGTTGAGTAACATCTCTCAAGCAAGTTTGAAGAGTTCATATGTAGAGACTTGTTTCATGAATGGAGTGAAGTTTTTTAGTATCTTGGAGTATCGAAGTGTGTTTGAGTTTTTGTAAATATAGTGATGTGAAGAGAGTTTGTGAATTGGGTGATGTATGGAGAGTTTGTGTGAGAAGTTATTTGAGACACAAGTATAAATGACAATTCTAGTCTTCTAGAACCATGATGAGCTACCACAAAGTCATCTGAGGTAAATCTAAGTGAGAGTCAGCCCGGAGGTTGCACATCTTAAGCATGATCATGCATAATCCTCATCAGGAAGTCATCTTGGTATGAATTACTGATGTGACATCAGTGCTTCAAACATACAACAGACCTCTCTAGACGTAGTGCTCAAGAGTGAAGCATATTGTTGTTTAATGAGAGATGTTAGTCGGCCATAATTCACAAGGAGTTCTCTAAGTTACACATGTAACTATACTCTTTCTCTTAAGGGAGGGTTAATTAGCCTTCACCCTAGTATACTCAATTCTCTCATTGATCGAACATACTACCCTCATTGTTAGTAATCCAAGGAACGTGAAATAAAGTGAGCGTTATTTAGCCCTAAGTGAGTGATAACTAGCAACTATTGTCTCTTAATATGGTGTGTATTATTTGACTTTTTTCGACATCCACACACCTTGTTCGTTCGCATCATGTAGCCTATGTTGCATGATCTCACCGTTTCTGAATATTTTTCAAGAGAAGAATTTAAATGGTCATGAATACTTCGGAACCTCATACCCCTCTTATCAATCTTGGTAAGACACATTGTCAAGTAGGTTAGAGGATAGAATGATATGAATACATTAGAAATTTTTTACATACAGTTTTTTATGACATTCTTAGTACTATGATTGAATATGAGGAAGGAATTGTGACTCTCATCGAGCAGCCATAAGTTTCTGAAATTTGAGATAGGTATTCAAGTGATTGTGTGGCCAGAGCACTTTCTTCTTCAATCACAATGGCGCAGCATTTTGAAGGGTTTCAAAAGATCCACCTCTTCCAATTGGAGGGAAGTACCCAATTTTATACCCAAATCTGCAATGCTACCAGATACATCTAGTTGATGCTTATGCGTGCCGAATGTGGTAGGCCTCATATGTCAGAGTTTCCGCCAACCATGTCTTTGCTTTGGATATTTAAAGCATTTAATTTCTTTCGCTTATGATGGTCAGTGAGATGATATGAACACGAGCTTCATGTTGCAATCGTTCCCCTTCACGTTGGAAGATTTGTAAATGAACAACTACTCTGGATGTGGCGAATTGTCATTAATGTATTGTAGCAAAGTGGAGACGAACTTCATAAGTACCACGATGTCCCATATTGTTGAAAGTGGAGTGATTAATTTCCTAGTGTGTCAAAATTGGATCTCGTCATGAGTCCAACTCTTGGATACAGTAGCCTCCCACTTAGTACGCATCCCAATTAAGTACGCATTTTATGAGAAAATTTTCATGTATCAACATTTTCACTATAAATCTTAAGGATTTCAACATTTTTTAAAATTTCATTGTAAATTTTGAAGTATAGACTAGACTTCTATGCCATTCAATGCACTATGGCAAAGGAAATCAAGCAAGAGAAATCTAACCATCAAGGGCCATCAAAAAATGCCGAGCTGCAAGTATCTCGTTCCAATAATCTAGTTTTTTGCTTCTTCATATTATGACACTTCTAGCGCAAAAATGATCATCTAACACCCGGAAAAAATGAGAATATCATATGGTGCATTGTGGTAGTGCAGTTTTTTTTGTTTTTCAAGAAATAGAATAGTTAGGACGGAAAATCCACGCAGTTTTTAACTTTTAAGGTAGTAGTAATTAGATTAGAATAGAATAGATCTTTTTACTGTAGAGGTTAAGTAGGAATAGAAAGCCCGAAGGATCTTCAGTAGAAGCGATTGGTCTTTGAGGGTTGGTGAAGTACTAATCCGAAGGGACGGATCAAGAGGACCGAAGTAGAGGTAGGAGGTACAAAGACCTAGCTCCTCGGAATACCTAGTAAGGTATTCGAGCAGGGGTATTTGATATTCGAAGATGAGGGCCTCGGAGTTCCCGCGGGCACCCAAGCAGCGAAGGATCCCCAGGGAAGTAAAAGATAGCGCCGCACTGGAAAGAAGTTTGAATGGCGGCACCTTCAATTCACACGAATGGGAAATCGTTGCGACTGCAGGGTATACCCAAGGGGACGAAAGTTTGATGCCCACATTCCACAAACACATTTTAAAA